GTTGGGTCTTGGTTGCCTCTCTTATAAAATAAGAGTCATGAAGTAACGTTTAGATTTCTTTTAGAGGCTATCTCCTTTAAACATTAGTGACTTCTAATTTGACATAAGCTCCTAAAGATTTGATTGAATCAATCTACGTAGGAGGATAGATGACTACTCATATTTTAATGCATTACATTCAGACTGTTGAGAAAGTTTTGGGTTTATTATTGGCTACTTTGAAAGAATCAATACAAACAGCGCACACACACATGTGTGTGTGTGTGCAATGACATCATTGCTGTCAACTCGGTCATCTTGCTGAACTTTAGGGATGCTACATTTAGTGAAAAAAGAGAGAACACATGAGTTGTAATTCAATAACTATAGGCTAAACATTTGCTATATTTTTTCATCTAACCCTTTAATCTAAGATAATGTTCCTAGAATTATATGATGGTTTCAGCTAGTGGTTTTATAATCATCATAAATATAAAATTGTGTGACCTTCAAGATAGCAAATGAAATTTAGGGGAAAAGGATTGCAGGAACAGAATTACCTTATAATATAAAAATGATGCCACTTCAGAGACTTTTTAAGCTCTATCTCCTTCTATCCTTCCTTCCTCTTTTCTTTCCTCTCCCTTCCCTTTCTTTCTCTCTCTTTAGCATGTCAAAGTAAACAGTGGAGTTCAGTTATTTTCCTTCTGCCTAACTGGATAACAGTATCATACAAGAGAAGAAGTATTAAGTTAAATTATATCTATCACTTAACAATGCAGAGTAGCACTATGATGAGGGCACCATTGTCTGGGAGTGGAAGAACAGCACTGATTTGCCTACTATGAATTAAAGAAAGATTCAGTTATAAATGATAAGACTCCAATTTCTCATCATTAGCTTTTTTTTTAACTTTTCATTTTGAAAGACATCTTTGACTTTAAAATAAAAATTTCTAGGAAAAATTTGATCATCAGAACATGATTCTCTTCACTTGGAAGACTTGGCATACCAGGAGTAGATTTTGGAAGACTCGTTGGTCTTTTAGAAGGACTCTCAGTTGTTAAACATTAGGCTCCACTCTCAGCTCTACTATCACCTAACTCTAGAGCTTTTGGTAAGTTGCTTACATCTCTGAACTGAAGTTTCATCATCTGGAAATATGTAACTCCAGATGGCTGTGATAAGGCTCTTTAGCACAGTGCTGGGCACATAATAAACTTTCAATCATAGTAATGGGAAATGATTTTATTATTCGTGTGTGTGTGTGTGTGTGTGTGTGTGTGTGTGAGAGAGAGAGAGAGAGAGAGAGAGAGAGAGGGAGAGAGAGAGACCTGATAAGAGTAACTTAATTTGGGCTCACAATGTTAGATAAATTCAGTCCCTGACAGACAGCTCCATTCCTTTGGGCCTAAGGTGATGTAGAACATCCTGGAAGGAGGGCCTGGTGGAGGAAAGCAGCTCAGATCACCGAAGCTGTGAGTCAGGGGCCCGGATAGATATAGTCTCCAAGGCCACGCCCCCAGTGACCTATTTCCCCACATGCCTGCCGTTACCACCCAGTAGTTCATTCAAATTGTTAATCCATCAAATGGATTAATTCTTTAAAGAGATCAGAGCTCCTACAATCCAAATTTTTTTCATCTCTAAACATTATTGCATTGCCTAACATGTGAGTTTTTGGGGGAGATTCCAAATTTTAACTATAACAACCATCAGTATGGAAATTGGAACTGCCAGAAAATCTACCATGAAACAAAATAATAAGAGCACAAACTCAGTTGAGTTATTTTGTCTCTGACTTAGTTTCTGTCAGTATAACATGGAAACATTTTAACATGCCAGGGATATTATGGCATCCTTTATTTAGTGGAACCTAGGCCACCAGGTTTGCTGAGTTTTGCATTTCTGGGCTAGATCACTGAATACAAATCAAAAAAGACTGGTTAGTTTTTTCCACGTGGAATCTAGAGAAAGAGCTTCAGATGGATGATGAGACCGTACGACACCTCAGCCACTCTGGGGAGAGTTTCTGAACCCCATGTTTCTGTGGACACATGTCTATTTGTCACTACTTCCTCTTGGCTTTCTGTGGTGGGGGCAGGATGCTTGCCAGCTAGGCTAATTGCTACAATTAGCAAAATTAAATGCCTCGTTATGTTTTTATACAATTCCACCCACAGTCCACAGTTTTACTTTGGCATGAGTAATGGTCCTGTTGAGACTGTCAATCTTGGATACACATGGAGAGTCTTTCCATGTGCCCATTTTTCAGGACAGCAGTTGGACAAAACATATGTCAACAGAGACCTCTGCAGTGACCTAATGCTGCCATACAGGTGCCCAAGTGAGAAGAAGAGATGTCATCCAAATGTTCAGATCATTTCACAGCCTGGTCTAAGGCAGGTTGACTCTGAAATTGGAACTAGAGTAAAATGACCCATCCTTGGCCATTTGGAAATGATCAAGCACCAGGCAGAAGGAATGTTATGAGTCACAAGTGGGCAGGATTTTGATTATTTTCAAAAGTGACATTGCTAAGATAAAGGAATGTGAATTGATTTGCATCCATCATTGAAGTTATATGAATGACGACCTCAGTCTTGCTGTGCTGTCACCCCGTGCTTCACTATCCTCTGAGCTATATTCTGAAAGACAGCCTGAGCTATTTTTACAAAGGCTTTAAGAAATTTTCCCTTAGAAACATAAAAATGCAGGCATCTCATCCAAGCTTTATATAGTAACTATAATGGCTAATGGCAAAGATGTGTTGAGAATGCAAGGGAGCATATATTTAGTCTAGAAAATGGTTCATTAGGGAAAAAACGTCTCTGTGGTTCTTGTCTAAACATTATGTCAGAACGTGTCTCCACTCAATGACTTTTGGTACGTTTGAAAGTGAATGTGTAACCTTACACAATCCTGGTAAGGACATCAGAGGTTTCCTCTGCTCGATTCAATATTTTCAGGGAAAGAAACTTTGAAAACACAAAACTATTCTATTCTGCTGCTTCAAAGATGGGATCTTTAAGGAGTGAGAAATTTCATTTAGGCTAAGAAGTGCTGAACTCTGAGTAGGTATTCCAACCAAAGTTCACAAGTACATTACTGTCTTACAGGCATGGTTGATTTTGAAAAGGCAGCAGGAAAAAGCTTGTTCATATGTCAGTAGCATGTCATTTTATATGCACTAAAGGGCAGTATATGCTTTATTTCTTAATAAAAAATTCAATAAAATAAAATAAAAAATCAATGAGATTTCAATTATTCTCATTCACTTTTAATTGGTCAGCGTTCTCGCTTCATTTATTTCTAGAGCAAAATAGATAGGGCATGTAGGAATTAACCATAAATTCTTCATATTACTTTTATTTTCAGATTATCTTTGTATTTTATTTTTGCTAACACTTGAATCACATGATCTTGACTCAATAAGAGAATTTACTTCATTTGTTGTATTCATCATAAATGAATAGAAACTGAGTGTCTATAAAGTTATATTGTGAAACTAGATAACACACAGTTAAGTAGAAAAATGTAGAAGTGTGAAGAGGATTTAAAGGACATAGTCATTTTGGAGAATCACATTTGACTTGCATGGAAAAAAATTTATTTTTCTTTCATGCAAAAACTTAAAAGTCTTGGCATGGATAGAATATAGTGAGTTTCATTTAAAAATGTTAATTTGAAAGTAAAAGACAAAGTTATAGTATTTTTCCTTTAGAAAATGTCATGATCCTATGCAAAAAAAGGTGAATAATAAGAGAAACATCCTCTCAAGGGATTCAAAGTGGACTTAGGTCCAGAAATCAGACTAGACGATAAAGAATCTCATTATTTCCATTTATATGCTAACCATAGCTCATCCCTCTTGGATTATTCTTCAGTTACTCTCCAGCAAGGGTTTAATATCAGACTGAAAAATAATTAAAATTTAAACACAAAAATCAAACTTTGTTCCCTTGCACCTTGATGACATCTCTTTAAATCCCAAATACTTCAAAAACTCCGTTATCTATGCCTCTAGAAACTAATAAAAGTTGTCTTATGGCAGTGGTGTGCTTTCTGAATCACAGAAGCAAGATTAAATCATGATTTACCTCTGGAGTAGTTTTTTGTTGTTGCTGTTCTTGTAATCTTCTGAAAAGTTGTAATTTATAACATGAAGGATATATCATTTCTTTAGCAAGAACTCATTGTTAACTAAAACATCACAATCTTCAAGAATGTCCAATAACAACGTTTACAGTATTGGGGAAATCATTTAAAAATTCAAACTTCTCACACCCTCCTGACTGCCAATCTCACCTCCAAGATAAAGGACAGTACATTATCTCTTATTTACATAGTCCTTGTTTCAAATCTTAACATGGTAAGTGAGGGACCAAGTTGAGAAATAACTTAGAACTTACATGATAAGAAGAGTGAAGGGGCTGTCGTGTTTGTTTGCTTGACACTATTATACTGTCATCTGTTATAACTCGTGGAATCAAGGTATAGTTCAACTGAGAAATTCCGTTTCCACAGATCATCAGTTAAAAGTTGTCTTGGAACTAAAGAAGCTAATAACTCATGATTCTGCACAAAGGTGAAGGATTTGCCAAAAATGATCTTTTTTCCCCCCTTCTACAATGGGGGTGGAATATTTTCACCATGTGCTGACAAGAAGAGGGTCCTCCTGGAGCTTTACCAGTGACGAGGTGATCTTTCCACATCCCGAAAAAATGATTAGCTTTGATTGTGTTTAGTGGAAGTCTTGCTTGGAGGATCAAGCCATGGAGTACTAGGAAATATGTCTACTGGTAAAAATTGTCTTATCTTTAAAAAAATTGATTTGGGGCTTTGTACCAAAAGAAGTCCTAGGTTGAGCCCTCTGTCACTTCCTGTGGATGTCCTCACGGGGACAGCAGTTTGTGGATGACATACTTACTACAGGCAGTGGCTCTAGAACTTGACCACTTTAAGGGAATAGGACCGTCCAAATAAGTAAATAATTACATTAATCTGACTTTTTACCTTCTTTTTTAGTGACTTGAATAAGCTTTAATCTATCAGTTGGGTTAATATAAAACCAGGGAAAGAAGTTTAAGACATCTTCCACTGTGGTCAGGTTTATTCTAATGAATGGATGAAAATAATCATTTACATCTTTGATTTCCTGGGAAACATTGGCCAGTCTTGACAAGCCCTTTCTAGTTAGGCTGTTTCTCTCTTCACCTGATATTCTTATAGCACCCCTGGCCAGGTTCCTGGGGGCACCAACTTGCAGATCTTGCAAGAGACAAGTGTTTTCAATCTGCCGAGGCAGGCTGATGAATTTGTGGACCAGTTTCTGACATCCCAAGTGATTATGATGCTTAAAGTATTTTAAATAATTCCAGGTCTATAAAAAAAGTGATGATGCCTATATGTATACCCTATATTTTTTATTACAAAAATATTGAAATAATCCATGAGTTATTCCACTCTGCACCAACTATAAAAAAATACTATCAAAGTTTGACCGGCACTTTTAATGCAACGAAAAGCACCATGACCAAGGACACTGAGAACAGAAAGCAGGGAACGTTTACTTGCTGTACGGAGGTATTTAAAACCCAGAAGCTTGTTGTAAGAGTGCGACTTTACAGATGATTCAAATACAAATCTTAGTTGGATAGAGTGATAAGCCCTCAATCAGTTCAGAAGGGTTTCCTTATAGCATATTCACCGCATTGGTATGCTCATACTTACTAACATTGTCCCAAAGCCTCTAAAAGAGATAATCACTTTGAGCTTGGATGGGAGGTGGGTAAGTCTGTACACAGTGGAGAACTTGTTCATTCGTTTATCTGCTTTCAGGGGACTCACATCACTTATTCTCAGTCACTGGGGCTTCCTTGTCAGTCCTGTGGTTGGACGGAGTTTGGCACTAGAAAGATGAGGCGTGGTGTCTTCTGGAATCACACCTGCCCACATGCATACAGCGAGCCACTCATTCTGTATCCGGAAACAGATGCACTTGCAGCCCACTCCTCTCTGGAGGCTCTGCGCTTACATTCCAATGTGAGCTGCACACGCCTGGGAATCAGACTCTTTATTCTGTCTCTTTTCCCCCCCACTTCCTATTGGTGTATGTTTTAAACTTTTGCAATTGAATACTGAAAGATGATTATCATTTCATTTACATCACGAAGTTATTGAGCTCCTTGGTCTTGTCGAAAGCCATACATGTGCTGCATAGGATTCCTGTCATAAAGATGTTCTCAACTGAAAATTTAAAATTAAAAAAAAAAAAAACAAATCCTGAAATATGTATAAAATGAACCATTCCATCAACGCTAATACATGTGTAAACACACTTGAGTTTGCTGTCTATTGAGTAGGCTTTTTTTTTCCCCACACATGATATTGGTTTTCAAATGAGAAAATGGTTTATGAATTCTTTTCTAAGCAGTACTACTTTTTTTTTGTTTCTGAAGTCTTGAGGGATATATTCTCTCTCTTGGTTTTTATATTTCTTCAGGAATCAGAGCTTTGCATCAAGAAAATCACCTAAGCTATTTTGACAGAGGACTGGTGTGTGTGTGTGTGTGTGTGTGTGTGTGTGTGTGTTAGTGTGTATGACTGAATATATTTTTATGCAAAAATCAGTTAACTCCATTAAAACACCCTATTGATTGGAGGCAAACTCTTCCATAATAATAGTCCCCTCTGGTGGATGGTGCTCCAAGACGAGTGCAGGAGGAATTGGGTAGCCACAGTCATACTGAGCTGGTGTTGCTCTCCTTCAGGTGGAGTAAGAGACTCTGGTTGCTGCTGGTTGGAAGTAAGACCAACAGCAGGCAGTTAGCTGATGGAGGATCAAACCCTAACAGGAGGAGGGGGGGGGCAGACTGAGAACATTGCAGCTTGTTGCCCCTACTGTAAGATGAAGTGTCACGATCGCCACAGCCCTGCTGTCACCCCTTCATCTGGATGTTGTGGCTCCTGCAAGTTCTCTCGTTTTTATAAAGTGGTCTCGTATTCCAACCGCTCCTGAATAAGGGCATCGTCTTTGTACTGCAGCCTCGGAGGAGACGGGGAACATTCAAAGGCTAAAATGGCCTTGCGGAGGCTTCGGTCCAACACGTGTCTCTCCCAGGCTGGGTACCTATTTCTGAACAGGTCAATTTTAATGACGGACTCTTCGATCCTTGGTGGGCGAGACGATGGGGTGGACGGGGCCGTGGGCCTCACCTGAAAGACAGGTACACAGCCGTCCCGCTCGGCGAATTTCTGGTCGCGGTCACTGGCCACGCTGCGGTTGTTGGAGATGGACCGCAGGGTGCTCGTGGCCACCTCGGGAGGCAGAGAGAAGGCGGCCATGGGGTCCTCACAAGCACAACTCGGTGACTGCCCGAACCGGGGCCCGTTGGGGTGAAAGAAGGCATAGTACATGAGCATGAAGACCACGCCCGTCAGGAAGCTGCTGAAGACCACGCACAGCGCGGGGATGGCGAAGGCGTCGGCGATCTGCGGGGCCTTGTACAGGTACCAGAGGGCGCTCAGGGCCGTGTTCTCCAAAAGGATCACAAAATAGTAAATGAACAGCCGGCAGCGTGTCCTGCCTTCCTTGACGTTGAACCAGCTGAAGATGTAGATGATCCCCACCACCATGTCGAACACGATCTCCTCCCATTTGGTGATGCAGAATTCCGTCTCACAGTGGACGATCCAGAAGGTCATGATGCACCAGTGAAGGACGATGAAGATCCCAAAGTACAGCTGGAACACCGAGGCGAAGAGGGCGAAGGTGATGACCCGGGCCGCGATGGTGAAGAAGTGCCAGCAGAACTGGATGATGACCGCCATGTAGCTGATGGGCTTCTTGTCATCTCGAGAGTCCCGCAGGGCCTTCTGGTAGGAGGCCAGAGCCCAAGCCAAGGACACCAGGGAGGCGGCCGCTGTGAAACCTACAAAGGCAAACAGGAAGACATTCTGTCAAAAGAGAGAGGCAGGGATGCCCTGGAAGTCAAGTCACACGGGGCTGGTGGCTGGGGACAGGCTTCCACCTCCGCAAAGGCTCTTATTTTCTTTGGATTTTTAGTGGACTTCTCACTCAGGTGGGGATCCTTAACTGTCCTCTCTAAGGCATCAACCATCTGGAGAAGGCTGGACACTCACAGGAATGCTACTCCAAACCAGTGTCAGGTCCAGGATGTAGAGAATGGGTAGTTTAACTTTCTGTGTGTTTGGTGTCAATAGACTTGGGCTGGAGGCTGATGGAATGGGGTTGCTGTTCCACTTGACCAGGTATTACCACATGACTCTGGACAACCTTTGAAATGAGTATCCTCATTTTTTTTTTTTTTTTTGGCGGGGTGGGAGTGTACCAGGGATTGAACTCAGGGTCACTTATCCACTGACCCACATCCCCAGCCTATGTTGTATTTTATTTAGAGACAGGGTCTCACTGAGTTGCTTAGCACTACTCCTTTTTATAAGTTCTGCTGAGGCTGGCTTTGAACTCACAATCCTCCTGCCTCAGCCTTCAGAGCTGCTGGAATTACAGACATTGCACCCAACAAGATCCTCATTTATAAGGCAGGCAATCTCCGGGGCTCCCTACCACTATGGAGATTCCATGGTTGAAAGGTATATAGCATCACACTGAAGCTTGAGGGGCTACATGGTTTACCTTTCTGCTTCCAAGCAAAAATGAATGAATTTCATTCCAAAAGAGAGTTTATTCTTTCTTTAGAATAAGGAAAGAAGTTCACATAATTAGCTTGACAGTGTTTCTTGTGCTGCCCAGTGTGCAGCTCATCCTCATGGCTGAGGATACTCAGGGTTCCTGCAGCTTCTATCTGTGCCGACTACCTTTCTCTTAAAAGAAGTATTCATTCACTGTCTTTCATTTCTTAGTCTTTCATAAATTAATGATTGTATTGAAATTCATTTTTTAGCCATTCCTCTTATTTTATCAGGCCCATTTGGTTAGTAGATCTTCAAACTTTGGAATTAATTTTTATTGCCTTCTTATACTTTTATTCCATTTAACTGGGTCTCAAATTTCTGTCTATGATCCAGATATGGACAGATCTTACCTAAAAACATACCAGATTCCCAGGAGATCTCTTTTGGAGAATTCCACTCTGTCACTGGAGTTTGCAATTATTTTACTCAAGAAGATGTGCTGAGACTTGCCAAGGTTAAGAATGGTTTCAGGTATTATAAAATTAAACTGACTTTCTCCTCATCAAATCTATTATTAATCATACTCAGGCTGAATACTAGTTTTACTTCCCTCTTTAGAAATAATAGAAGGTGTGTGGATTTCCAGGAGCTTATGATGGAACGGTACTTTTCTTTTTTGAAACAATGTTTATAGAAAAAGAGCTGTTGTCTACTATCCTTGAAAAATAAATTTTAAAAATACGATTCTTGTGAAAAGAGGCCATATTAATGGATAAAAAATTCAAATCCAATAATCACATCTTACCCGGTCTCCTTGATTAACACAAACTTCAAAAAAACAAAACCAATTATTGATGAAGAAAATGTTTTCCAAAATCCACTTCTCATACTTCCTCACAATAAATCTACTAGAATGTTTAAATGGGGATGTCAGGATCTTCAGGTTTTTGATTTTTGATCTTTTTCAGGGCAGCACAAAATTTTTTATTCCTGTAAGTCACAGGAAGCTATCTATGGCAATATTTGTAGGTTAGTTACAGACCAGTGGACAAAGGAGTTTATGATAATTCAGTTTCTGTGCAATAGAAAACAGCCATATCAATTTACAGTAAATTCTAAAGTGAAAAGAGAGGAGTGGAAGGATTTAAAACTGGATTAAGAAAGAGAAAGGATGGAGAAAAAAGGTGACAGAATAATGATTATGTGAATGATATTTATGATCGGTTCAGATCAAAGAATAAAAGGTTGTGCCATTTTGATTTCAATGCCTTTGTATGGCATAGAAACTGCTCATACCTCACCTTTTATCTGTGTCCCTTGAAAACTTGTAGCCTCTTGAATAGACTTGTACTCAGTTTGCTTTTAACCTGGACATCTTAGCTGTGCAGGGACACTCTTTGTGTTCTCACTGATGCACCTTCAGCAGGAAGCGCTGGTGCTTAGTGCCACCTTCAGGAAGGTGACTGCCTTGTTGGTCAGACTTTGTGCAAACTGAAGAGCAAGCACTCTTATTGGAAGATGTTACATAAGGCTGTTTTCCAAAGCAGTTATAAAACAAATCACCACCACTACCACCACCAGTTTGAGCATCCCTAGTCCCAAAATTAAAAATCCTAAAAGCTCCAAAATCCAAAACATTTTTTGGGGCCCACGTGACACTACAGAGGAAAATTAACACCTGACCTCATATAATGGGTCACAGTTAAAATGCAGGTGCAATAAAGATAACGTACAAAATTGCCTTCAGGCTATTTGTATAAGGTGTATATGAAACATGAATGAATTTTGTGTTTGACTTGGACCCCCTCTCCAAGATATCTCATGTAAATGCAAGTATTTCAACCCCCCCCCCTTTAAACTTAAAAATCTGAAATATGGGACTGAAGATATAGCTCAGTGGCAGAGCATTTGCATAGCATGCATGAAGCCCCAGGTCCTATCTCCAGTTCTAAAAAATTAAAAAAAAAAAAAAAAGAAGCCAATCCATCAATCAACCAATTAATCAGTCTGAAACACTATTGTTTTCAAGCTTTTCAGATACTCCACCTGTCTAGATCTAATAGAAAAATTAGCCTCACTCAAATTTTCCTGTAACCTTTATCCCTTTTGCTTCATTGTCTTAAAAGAATAATCCAGTCTGTGATTGACTCTCTGGGAACTGAAGATGATACACTGTCAGTAGAAAAGGGAACATTTTCTATCTGCTTTGCTTTCAATGAAAAGAGTCTATATACTAAAGAGGAATTCCATGTCCATTCTGTTCTGTTCACCCCTTTTAATGAGTTCTGTTTTTCAGCAATGATTAGCATTTCTCTTCTTCATCTCATTATAATTTTCTCTTCCTTCTTTTTAGCAATTCTTTTTTTTATAAGACAAATACACATCTGAATAGAAATATGGGCCCATTTTAGAATTAAGTCCTTCAGCATTCCTTTTTTTCCAATCGACTTTTTTTCTAAGCCACCTCCAGTATTCCGGTTTCATCAATTACAAATTACAATAGGTAAATTACAAATACAGTCCTGCCTTAGAATGCTTCAATCATTTGCTCTTTACACAAGTAATACCAGAGTGGTTATTTCCAGTGTCGAGATAGATTTTCTCTGCAAGGCACTGCCTTGTGATTGGAGTGGAGTTCTCTGGAACATCTGATGTATGGGGGTATAGAACGCTTCTTTAGCTAACAATGTTAAAGCTTAATATTTTAAGATTTTATTTAAAAATAATTTCAAACATATAGAAAAATTTCAAACTAAAAATAGTACATTGAATACCTATATAAATTTTGCCTAGATTATTATTGGGTTTCATTTGTTCTATTATTATGCTCTTCTCTCTCTCATTTGAGACTAAGATATATGACTGTTTACCCTAAGGCACATCAGTGCTTATTTACTATGAAAAAGCATATAAAACCACAGTAAAGTTATCAACTTCAGCCAATTTAATATTTCTTTCTAATCCACCTTCAACATTTCAGTTTCATCAGTTGACCTTAACAATATCCATTCCAAATCTTTTTCTTTTTGGTACAGGATTAAGTCTAAGATAAGGTAGTATATTTAGCTGCCATACTGATTTAGTTTCCATACTGATTTAGTTTTCTTTAATCTGGAATGTTTTCATAGGCTTAGACTTTCTTTGCATTTTCTGACATTGAATATTTTCTTCCAGTACCACAGATTGAACCCAAGGGCACTCTTCCACTGAGCTAACTCCACAATCCTTTTTATATTTTATTCTGAGACAGTGTCTTGCTCAGTTCCTCAGACTGGCATGACATTGAAATTTTTGAAGAGTATAGTACCTTAAAAAAAAAAAAGATAATCTTCTTCATTTTGGGTTTGTCTGCTTTTGTTTAGATTCAAGGTATGCATCCCAGGCAGGAATATGTAAGTGACATTGAACAATATATTTTTGCTCACATCATTAAAATACTAAAATATAAAGATTCCCTCAGTGGTCCCAGGACATAAATAATGTGTCTCTTGGTATTGTCTTTCAAAATAATGAACAGCGAAGTTTTAAGATCAAACTGTGAAAACAGCTGGAGGGGACTCAAAGGGATTCTATTATTTCTTAAAATGTTAAAATAGATGGTAAGACCTCTGAGCTTACCTAGTGCAATGATTTCATTTTACCAAAAAAAAAAAAAAAAAAAAATTGAGTCTTGCCTTTGAGAGATTAAGTGTTCTATCTTTTCTCCTTCCTGACTTCCTCTTGTTTCAGATGGAAATTGTCTTTAATCTACCCTGAAATTAAACCTCTTGCTTCCTTGACAGCAGATGCTCTGTGCTCCTGCCTTTGTCTGAATGCCATCCCGGGCTCTCCAGGAGATCCTTCCCTGCAAACATCTGACAAATAACCCTTGTCCCAAGAAAACCATCTACTTGATTTTTTTTTCTCTTCTCCTTTATTTTAGATCTGTTTTCCCTCCAGTTCTTTGTTTCTTGTCTTCCCCATTTTTTATCAGTTAGTCCTTGAATTCTTGGCATTGTTCGGGATGCAGCTCTGGATCCACTTGCTTTCAGGGTCTCTGAGTCATCCCACTCCCTCCCATTCCTTGACCCTCCAGCTCAGCAGGCAGTTAAGACCCACCCCAAGGCTACCATTTTTTTTTYCCCCGGCTCCCCTTCTGTGTGTCTGACTGCTTACTTGGAAAGTTACTTAGAAACAATCTGACTGGAGGTGACAATTTTTGCTTTCTCTGGAAAAGAGCACAATTCTTTCCTTTATCCTCCCTGTTGTTAGTGTAAATGCCTTCTCAGAACTAGAG